CTCTGGTGGCTTAGTGCTGGTGGCTTAGTGCCTAAGGCACTTGACTGCTAACCAGAAGGCTGGCGGTTCAAACCCACCAGCCACTCCTCGGAAGGAATGTTGGGCAATCTACTTCCGTAGTGATAACTGCGTTGGAAACCGAAGGAGGGGTCGCTATGAGTCAGATCCTACTCCACCGAAGTGGGTTTGGTTTGGTTTGGTCTGCCCCTTAGGTGAACCTGGCTGGAGAGAGAAGGGCTCTTGTCAGCACCAGTTTTCTGGGTTGGTTTTCCCTGCCGTGGGGATAGGCAATGAAGGACCTGTGTACTTCTACCTTGCTGCATTTTTTAGTTGACTTTTGCCTGCCTCCCCCACATCCCACCCACATTCCCCAAGAGTTGGAGCTCATAACTGAAAGCAGTATTGCTCTTGTGGCTTGCAGATTGGCACAGCAGCGAGGGGACGGTGATGATGGGGGTGGCACAAATGCGGAAACTCCTTCCAGTGATGATTTCAGGTAAAACCGGCTTAACCATGACCCGCCCATATGTTCTTCTCTTTTCTGCACTTCTAGCCAGTAGACCTCCGTGTGTACCCTCTTTCCACTGACTTTCCCTTAGTCAAACATCAAGCCCACCTGTCTCCTAGGAACACAGTCCTGATTGCTTCACTGGCTCATTCATTCAAGGCTGGGATAGATCCAAACGCTGATAGTGCCCTTTAATTATCCAGAGAGAATAATGCTGAGTTTCTTGCTTGCAATTCCAGTAACCCGTTGAGTGTCATCTTGCTATAAAGAAGTTTAAGATCCTCTTTTTTCCCCCTCTGAGGAGTATTTTATAGCAACCCTGCCACACAGTAGGGTGTAAAACCCAGGACAGCAGGGATTGCTGTCTCCTTTGCGTGTGGTATCTTATCTAGCACCTCGAGTGGTGCCTGGCACAGGGCAGGCAATTAATATATGTTTATTAAATGAATAAGGAATAAAGGAACCTTAACACTTGATGCAAAGTAAGGTATTATATAAAAATATTGTATTCATTGTCTGGATAATGGATGATTTAAAGAATTTTTCAGTTGCTGTGATAGTATTGTGGTTATATTTTAAAGCCCTCATCTTTGAGAGATACATAATGAAAAATGTGGATGAAATGATATGATTCCTGGGACTTGTTTCAAAATAATCTCAGGATGGGAGCTAAGTGGAAGGGGACAGTATGGGGTACAGATGAAATAATATTGGCCATGAGTTGATAATTGTTGAATCCGGGTGATGGGTACAGGTGAGCTCATTATACTCTTCTGTACTTTTGTATATATTTGAGAATTTCCATGATAAAAATTAAAACCAACAGAAGACCTTGAAAAGTATTGGGTTCATGTTCTCTATTGTGAAATTTGGTGGTAGAAGACCTTTTCTTCTTGTATATTCAAGTTATAGTCTCTTTATATTCTAATCTAAATCAATTTGAAATTCTGATTTTAGTTTAGAAACAAAAGCTAAGCTGTGTGTTCATTCATAGGTTATGGATAGTTGGAGGGTTGATGAAAGAGAGGACAATATGAGACAGTGATCTAGGACAGCAGAAGAGCAAATGGACCAGGAAAGGCCACCAGTAAGGGCCTGCTTAAAGTTAGTGGTTATCAGTTCAAAGTGAGACTAGAGACAGCGAATATGTATTTTGATCCAGCCACATTCTACTGCATAGATGCAGATGTAGAGTAGGTGAAAAGCTGGATTAAATAGGTTTGGTGTCTTGCTAAACAAGTACAGTGAGGTGAAAACAACAAAGGAATTAAATTATAATGTATGCAAGGGTGTAATTATAATGACTGACAATGGAATTTAAACTGGTGGCATAGTGGGTAAGGCATTTGGCTGCTAATCAGGTCAACAGTTCAAACCCACCAGCTGCTCTTTGGGAGGAAGATGAGGCAATCTACCTCCATAAAGATTTATAGCCTTAGCAACCCAATAGGAGTCACTATGAGTGAGAATCAACTTGATGGCGGTGAGTTTTGGAAAGAGAAGGGAAGTGAAATGAGAAGCTTGAGGCACTGTGATAAAGAGGTAAGTAGGGTCAATGGATTGGGGGCCTGGGTGGAGTGAGAGTACTAGAGAAAATGGGCTGGAAATAGAAGAGTGTTTAAAACTATTGAGGTGGATCATACTTGGTGACCTGCATTCTTAGAAGCCTTACCAACAACAGAAGATCTTCTCAAGTCCTTAAAAGAGAGTCTAGCTTTCAATGACTTTCTGTCCGACTTAGGGAGAGTGAAGGCAGTGAGCCACTGCTAAGGAATGTATGTCTTTCATTTGACAAGCCTCTCCTTCGTGGACACTAATCTACCATCTGAAGTGGAGCCACAACTGCGCAGTTTCATTGCTAAGCGTCTTTCTAAGGGAGCTGTCTTTGAAGGACTGGGTAATGTTACATCCGTGGAGCTGAGGTAAGTGTAAAACGTGCTGTGTCCTGAGTTTTTGTTTCTGAGCTAAATATGAGAAGTGATGAGAAACTCCAAAGACCAGCTCCGACTAGACCTGCAGAGTTTATCTTTGTTCTTTGTTAGCCCAAGCACTGGGACTCACCCGTAAACCTATGTGGAATGGAAAGAATTGAATGGCAGAAATTCTGCCTCCTAGGTTTACTTTATTTAGTTTACACTTGGAAGAAGAAAGTTAATTTCCAAAACTAAATAAAGTAGAAATGTGTACTTTGGAGTTTATAAAATGCTTTCATGAATTTTTATCTAGCACGGTTCTCTCTAGAAAGCTTAAAATAGTTGAAATAAACTCACAGAAGTTAAGTGAGATGCCCAGCATCATAAGTCTGGTCACATCAGTGGAGTTCTGGCTTGGACTTGGTTATCCCCTAATTCCGGCTGTCTTTCCGTTATCCCCCTTGGTTGAATTTCACTTCAGACTGTGAAATTAGCATATAAGTCCCACAGGAGTACAGTCCATGACTTAAGGATAAGACCACAGGATAAACATGATACATCTCCCAAGAGAATTCAGAGAAGTTCATGTTTGGGAGGGGCTATTTTGGCTAAAGCCCATTAGGATATATATTCATTCATCTCTGCTGTTAGGAGTGAAAGAAGGGAGAAGTCTGGGAAACTTAGTGGGAAGTCTAACAGGATTGGCACTCCAAGATGATCAGATTTAGAGTAGGCCACAAAATTAGGTACGTAAATCATCAAAATAATACATTTCACCTTTTTTTCCTTTTCTAGTTCTCCAGGTTACCAAGTTGGTTGTTATTACTGCCTTTTTCAACAAGCAAAACTGTTTCCTGAAGCAGCCACAGAAGACTCTGAATATAAACCTTCAGAATATGTGGTTTGTTTCTTAGGAGGGTCTGAAAAAGGACTTGAGCTATATCCTTTCCCAGGTCTTTAAGGACGTCAGGAAGGAAAACCTAGGAAGGCAAGTAGAGGAGTTTTACTACCAATCCCCCAAAAGCTTTTCTACCCCCTTACATATTTACTTGAATTTTGTATCTTCATACAGCCACTTTGTCTGGGCTTGTTTTAATATGCAGTTAGAGATTTTATATTTCATACTGGGAGATAAAACACTGTCTTAATTCATCTTTTATTATTTCCTTAAGAATGTACTTTCAGGCTTGAATTGGACAAGTACATTCAAGGGCTGAAAAATAACATGAACTGTGAGGTAAGATGACTGATTTAATAGTTGTTTAAGACTGAGTTGATTAAAATGTTAGGACTGCTGTACTGTCAAATCATAGCTGGGACACAAAGACACCTTAATTCTAAAAACTTGCTACTTTGTGGTTAAGTAGAATAATGACTATTAAGGGAAACAGGGAACATGGTCCTGCAAGTGCTGATAGTTTCACAGGACTGCTTCTGATATTTTCTATACATGAAAAATTCAGTCCATTTAATTGGAAGGTAGGTGGTAGCATACCAGGTGAGGAAGAGAATGGTCTTCTCCTGGTTCCCAAGCCCACGAGATTTACATTCTGGTCGGAACTAATACTTCATGTAGCCTTTGGCTTCAGAGATATGCTAGGCAATGATATGGCTGTCCTTGAACTCCAGAGATATTTTAGAAACATTCCATTTTTCATTAATTGATCTTTTGTGAATTATGTATGTCCATATTGATTCATTTATCCACACCTTTTAAAAACTGTGCTTTCAGCTTTTGGCAGTTGTTAAAATCATGACTCTCATAAGTGTGTTGCCCATTACATGTTGTAATAGCTCTTTTCATCCTTCCTGCCCTTACAAGATACTGCCGGAGGAGAGGGAAGGATGGTGTAGGAATGAGCTAGGAATCGGAGTCTAGGGGAGCTGCTCTCCTTGTGTCTCCTGTGTGACACCAGTCACCAGACAGCAGCACAGCTGAGAAAGCACATGTGATGTGCTCATGCACAGAGGGCGTCTGATAACTTGAGTGCTTGATGAGTCAACTTGCACCTTCTCTGTTTGCATTTTGAATCTGAATGAACTCTGTCTATATTCCTTTAGTCATTCGGCAAAATTAACGAGCTTGGAATGTGGATGTGTTAGACAGTGTACAAGTACTGAGGGTACACGGATTATTAAGAGATCTCCAATGAGTGCACATAGTGGGGCAGATGGACATGTAAATGTCCAACTTCTCCCAGTGAAGTAGTAGCCTGGAACTCTCTCATTTCAGCATATTCATTTTATATAGTGCATTTTCTTACATGCTTTTTAGGAAACTCAGAACAGAATTAATCTCTGCCTGCCCAGCCACCCCAGGAATGCTAGAATCTCAAAATTCCTTTTTTTGAGCTGATGGTGTTAGTTTGAAAAAAAGAAGTATTGGTCCTGATTCTTTTCAATATCAAGAATATCATAAAGAAAATGTTAAATCTACTACTAAGGTGAAAGTTTAAAGTAAAGCAAATACATTCTGTTCTGATCTAGGAAAGAGGTCTGGAGAACCACATAAAATCCTACCTGAGCAGCTGGTTTGAGGATGTTGTATGTCCAATCCAAAGGGTTGTTCTTCTTTTTCAGGAGAAACTTACTTTCCTGCTTCACGCTGTAAGTATTGCCCAAACAAAGGTATTTCTGTAATCAAGAATCACCTTTCCAGAGTTTGGATTATTTACTGGCATCGGCCATTTTTCTCTGAATATCCCTTTTTCCCCTTGAGTACTCATTCAAACTGTGTTTGCTATAAAGATAGACCACCTTATTTACTCAGAACTAGAAAGTTGGATTATTATAATAAAATGCAAATGCTGACTAAGTCATCTTAATAGCATGAAACATTTTTAAATACTTTTAAAAATGATTTTGTATAATTGTTCTGGTTCCCTAGTGCCACTCTGACAAGAAATACACCACAAATGGGATAGCCTTAACAAACAGGAGTTTATTCTTACAATTTGGAGGCTTTAAGTCCAAGTTCAAAGTGCCAGACTCTAGGGGCTGGGTGAAAGCCCCTCAACCTTGGGGGGCTCTGCCTCCTACTCCCGGCGTACTGGAGCTAGAGGCATTTCTTCACTCAGACAACTGCTGGCTGCTGAGGCTGAGAAGCCCCAAGGTTGACAAGTCAAAAGGCACAGTCCCGATGTTACCAAACCACACAGCAGGCCATTAACTTAAATCCATTGTCAAGTCCCAAGGTCGGCAGAGCATAGCAGGCTGCTGAGCAATGACACAGGTACATGCAGGTCCAAGTGTGCCATATGCTAGAGACCTTTCTCAAAGCTTCTCTTTATACACAGGAAGCAGACCACATACCCAAAGGCAGCTACTCAGCTGCTCATAGTAGATTCCACCATGGAATTGATTACCAGTCTCATCATGGAGAATACTACATCCAGCTGCCCAGCCACTCAGCCAGGCCTAGCCAAGTTGACACAAAACATAACCATCACAATTCCACCCCTTGTCAACTTGGCCTAGAAATTCTGTTCTGGTTACCTTGTGCCGCTCTGACAAGAATATACCACAAATGGGATGGCCTTAACAAACAGGAGTTTATTCTGCTCAGCTGCTTGTGGTAGATCCCACCATGGAGTTGATTGCCACTCTGCTCATGGGAAATAACTACCACCAGCTGCAGCCACTCAACCAGGCCCAGCCAAGTTGACACACAAACCAAACTACCACAGTTCCACCCCTTGTCAACTTAGCATCTGTACAGATCTCCTCTCTGGGTGGCTCCAGTCCCCTAGTTCCTGAGTGGTGACCTCACCCCCTTGGCCTGGCGGCCCTGTTCCTCTCCCTATTGGGCATGGCAGCCCCGCCCCCTCACTCTTGGGCAGCAGCTATGGCTCCATCCCACTGGCTCACATGAACGAACAGCCCCATACTCCAGAACCAAGTTGGTGAAGGCCTGGTTCTAGGGGTCTGTGATCATTCCACTCCCAAAGGCCGTGGTCCTACCCTTTCAGGCGGAGGCAGCTCTGCTTCCATTTCCTTGGTCTCCGCTTCTGCCGATTAATGCTCGAGGGCAACCCACTCTGCCAGGAATCTTCTTGCCCCAAAGGACATTTAGCTTTCTTGCTCCATTGGCCGGCCAACCTGCTACTCCATTTCAAGCTGGTCTCTTCTACCAGTTAATGCCTGAAAGCAACCCATTCCACCAGGAAGCTACCTAACCAAAGGCTGGTAAGGCTGTCGCTGTCTCATGCCGGTTCTCTCAGCTTTGCTCCTGCTGTCTCTCATGCCGGTCTCTTGTTGTCTGTCCTGCCGTCTGTCATGCTGTATGCCGGGGTCTCTCTGCCAGGGTCTCGGGTCAAGAACGCACTCCACTCCTGGAGATATTTTAGGTATCTGTCAGAGCAGCACCCCACTCTCTTGGTACCAAATTCTGTTCTGGTTACCTCGTGCCGCTCTGACAAGAATATACCACAAATGGGATGGCCTTAACAACCTAAGGAGGGGTTGCTATGAGTGAGGTCCGACTCGACGACACATAGCAACAACAACATAACAACAGGAATTTATTCTTACAATTTAAGTCCAAGTTCAAAGTGCCAGGCTCTAGGGGCTGGGTGAAAGCCCCTCAACCTTGGGGTCCAGCTTTGCCTCCTGCTCCCAGCCCACTGGAGCTAGAGGTGTTTCTTCACTCAGATAGCTGCTGGCTGCTGAGGCTGAGAAGCCCCAAGGTTGACAAGTCAAAAGGCACAGTCCCGATGTTACCAAACCACACGGCAGGCCGTTAACTTAAGTCCATTGTTAAGTCGGCAGAGCATAGCAGGCTGCTGAGCAACGACACGGCTACATGCAGGGTCCAAGTGTGCCATAGGCTAGAGCTAGAGACCATTCCCAAAGGCTTCTCCTTTTATACAGGAAGCAGACCACATACCCAAAGGCAGCTACCCAGCTGCTCGTGGTAGATCCCACCATGGACCTGATTGCCAGTCTCCTCATGGGGATTAACTACCACCAGTTGCCCGGCCACTCAACCAAGCCCAGCCAAGTTGACACACAAACCAAACTACCACAATAATTATTGTAACAAAATAATTTTGTGATGATCTGGGAGTGGTGGCCTTTCCAAAATAGTTTGAGAAGGAAAACAAAAATCCAAAGTGATTTTAACTATAAAAATGTCCAGACAAAAAGTGAAAATTCACTGACATATCTAGACAATGGCAGAGGCTTGAGTGAATGACTGAGTTTTTCATTTTAACACATATGGATAGATGCAGAGACTGGAGAAGACCAAGGTGGTAAGGCCGAGAGTGATAGCAGCTGTATAGGCTCTGTAGAGCTTGTGTATGGTGCCCAGTAAGCATCTGGTGTGGTGGTGATTTGAGAAAGCAATGTTTCATCACAAATAGCTGCTCAATAAAAACGAGTATGTCCTGAAACAAAATTTATAAACAAAATGCTCTATTAACTTCCACTCAAATCACAATACAAAGTTAAGAAAACTGGAATATATGTATCAGTCAGGCTTTATTTTTCTCTTGTAGGCTCTGAGTTACACTCCTGTTGAGGTTAAAGAATCAGATGAAAAAACAAAGAGAGACATTAACAGGTAAAGAACATGGTTTTTTCAAAGAACCTTTCCAGCACAGCCTGATTTTTACTAAAACCTCCCTAGTGCAGAATGAATTAGTTTTTGTCCTCCAGTTCCGTAATATTGTTTGTGGAAATGGACTTGTGTGTGTGGCAGGTTTCTGAGTGTGGCCAGTCTTCAAGGACTTATTCACGAAGGCACCATGACATCTCTGTGCATGGCCATGACGGAGGAGCAGCGTACGTCCGTAGTCATTGACTGCAGTGGCTCCCAGCCTCAGGTCTCCAATGCAGGTGAGCCACACCCTCCGAAGCAGCCTCCCTGGCCCCTTGGGACTCTTCCCTCTCGCGCTGAGGAAGATGGTGCAGAGTTATTCTTCCTGGCTTGTGCGGTTTTACATATCTGTCCCAAATTTGCTGAAAACAATAGCAGTTCTAAAAACATGGAAATTACATCATGCCCAGCAATTCCACTCCTAGGCATGTAGAGAAACTTGTATATGCACACAGGGAGACATACGCAGAAGTGTTTATAAACTCAGTGTTTGAAATAGCAAAGAATTGGAAGCAACCTCAATGTCTGTCAACAGGAACACTGATAATCTGCTATATTCATACAATGCAATACTGTACAGCAGTGAAAATAAAAGCTAGAGCTACATGTCAGTATAGCTCACAAAACATACTATTAGGAAGACAAACCATTAAAGAAAAATACATAGTTTTAACATATGCAAAATGATACTATACAGGGCTTAGAAATACAAAAATATGTAGTAAAACATAAAGAAATACATGGGAATGATAATCTTTTCTGATGGAAAGGAAGAGGATGTCATTGGGGGGGGTGCACAAGAGGTTTCAACCATTCTGGTATTTCTTAACTGGGTGCTGAGTACGTATGTATGCGTGGTATTTTATTTAGACTGTAATCACTCACTTGCTCACTCACAGCCATTGAGTTGATTCCAACTCATAGCAACCCCTGTTGGGTTTCCAAGGCTATAAATCTTTACAGAACCAGACTGCCTCATCTTTCTTCCATGAAACAGCTGGTGGGTTCAAACCAATGACCTTTTGGTTAGCAGCCAAGTGCCTTAACCACTACACCACCAGAGTGCCTTTTAGACTATTATCGAAGTCTTAAATAATGTATTAGTCTTAAATAATATATTAGAAAGAAAGAATAAATGCCTTATGCTTTGTAGGATTACATTTTATTTATTTAATTTTTCCAATATATTTTTTTGTAGGAAGCAACCGATTTTGTGAGGACTGGATGCAGGCATTTTTAAATGGTGCTGAAGGGGGCAACCCTTTTCTTTCCCGGCAAGTACTGGAGAACTTTAAATTAAAGGTAATTAATTGGCTGTGTACCAAGTACCACAGACAATTTTTGACTGAATTTAAATTAGTACCAGTGACAAAGTAACAAATCTGCTTCCTAGCTACAGTATCTGTTAAATAGGGCACTTGCAAAACTGGGATCCTCAGGAGGTATTTATTTTATTTATATTTTTCAGTGGCTTCTGCATTTCATTTCTACTTAATTGGTTTGAGTACTTGGCTTATATTTAAGGAACAGTGATCTTTCAGTTTGTGATGTATCTTAGTTGCAAAGTGCAAAAACAGTCTAGTGCCTAAGAGTTCAGAATTCAGGGGCAGGAGAGGTGGGAAAGGAATATTGTCACTTTACCTAGGAGATTATCATTAATTTTTTAAAGTATTTTTACTTTATATAAGAGCTTTTGTTCTACCTAGGGCAAAACATATTAGCAATAAAAATGTTGAAAATATTTAAAATAAAAAGCAAACATCTCAGGAACATATCTTGAGTTCTCAGCAGAATAGGCAATCTCTTTCAAGCTTCATTGTTATCTCACTATGTATTTAACTGGGTAATCTTTTTGTAGGCCATACAAAACACAAATAATCTGAAGAGATTTATCCGGCAGTCAGAAATGAATCATTACGCTTTGTTTAAATGTTACACGTTCCTAAAGAACTGTGGTAGTGGAGATATCCTTTTGAAGATTGTTAAAGTGGAACATGAAGAAATGCCAGAAGCTAAAAATGTGGTAGCAGTCCTGGAAGAATTCATGAAAGAAGCTCTTGTCCAAAGTGTTTGATCATATGTTTTGAGGTAATTGTATCGTGAAGTTGTGTAGTCAAGCCTAGGTGTTTGAAATTGCAGTTGTTATCATTGTTCATAGGATTACTGTTTAAGATTATTTGAAACTCATTTTAGAATTTTTTTTCTTTTGGAATTTTCAGATTTAACTTAATTAAACATAAAAAGCTGAGGAACATCTTCAGTGAATCCTAGATAGGTATGTGTGTCCGAACTGTGGAATTGTAGCATATTGCTCACTGGTCCCATAAATTCTAGACTGCAAGAAGTTGTTGCTTAAAAAATATCAGAGGTAATTTTGTGGCTTCTTCCAGGAGTTTGCTGCAGTAGTTAGGAACTTTTCTTCTCAGAAAGATCATAGTACTTCTAACTTAATGGATTGTAGCTTCTTTTTGAAAAATGCAATTCTAGACTTAGAACGGATTAGTGCCTGTTCTGGTTCCCTAGTGCCGCTCTGACAGGAATATACCACAAATGGGATGCTTGAACAAACAGGAGTTTATTCCCGTACAGTTCAGGAGGCTTTAAGTCCAAGTTCAAAGTGGCAGGCTCTAGGGGCTGTGTGAAAGCCCCTCGACCTTGGGCTTCAGCTCTACCTCCTGCTCCTGGCCCACTGAAGCTAGAGGCATCTCTTCACTCAGGCAGCTACTGGCTGTTGAGGCTGACAAACCTGAGGTCGACAAACAAAATGGCACGGTCCTGAAGTTACCAAACTACACGGCAAGCCATTAACTTAAGTCCATTGAAAGTCCCAAGGTCAGCAGAGCATGGCAGGCTGCTGAACAACGACATGGCTACATGCAGGGTCCAAGCGTGCCATAAGCTAGAGACCATTCCCCAAGGCTTCTGCTTATATACTGGAAGCAGACTACATTCCCTAAGGCAGCTAGCTACTCAGCTGTTCCCAGTAGATTCCACCATGGAGTTGATCACCAGTCTTATCATGGGGAATACTACATCCAGCTGCCCAGCCACTCAACCAGGCCCAGCCAAGTTGACACACAAACTGAACTATGACAGTGCCACTAAACCATTCTGAAGAAAGATCTATGTACTCTGTTGGTGCTTGATACATTTTTCATCTGATTGGCAGTGGCAGTGATGACGAAGCCAGCACTTAAGTTGATAATGCAAATAAATCAGAAGTGTGTAAGAAATTAAATGAACTTTAAAAATAGCTGTGCTATCTTTAAGATCAGACATCTTTGACGAAAAGCTACTGCAGAAGTAGCCTCCATTACCACTTTTCTTCATTCATATGTTGACAGGTATTTGCTAAGAGCTTGTATTTTCTTTCTTCTTCTAGATGAAAATGTTGGAATCTTAAATTGTTCAAGGGAAAAAAAGTAACATAGAGATGCAAATGGAGGTACTTCATATCACAGTCACTCACTGATTTAATTTTTTGTACATTTGTTACAAGCCTCAGATTGTACTGTGGATCAATTGAAAGTGCTCTCAGCTCGTTGTTTGTTAGGCGCCATCAAGTCAATTTCAACTCACGTCGCTGTGCTTGAGCCCGTTGTCGCAGCCACTGTGTCAGTCCATCTCATTGCGGGTCTTCCACTTTTTCACTGACCTTTACTTTACCAAGCATGGTATCCTTCTCCAGGGACTGGTCCTTCCCGATAACATGACCAACGTAAGAGAGACTCTAAGTCTGGCCATTTCTCGCTTCTAAGGAGCATTCTGGTTCTACTTCTTTCAAGACAGATTTGTTTGTTCTAGCAGTCCATGCCACATTCAGTATTCTTCATCGACACCATAATTCAAATGCTTCAATTCTTCTGTGGTCTTATTTACTGTCCAGCTCTCACATGCATATGAGGCAGTCAAAAATACCATGGCTTGCGGCAGGTGCACCTCAGTCTTCAAAGTGACATCTTTGCTTTTCAACACATTGAAGAGGCCTTTTGTAGCAGATTTGCCCAAGTGCAGTATGTCATTTGATTTTTTGATTCCTGCTTCCATGGGTATTGATTGTGGATCCAAGTGTGATTCCCACGGAAGCCAACTGTAGCTGCACCTGTATGACTGCAGTTGTTCTGCGTCTTTATTATCACTCTGTTACTTCTGTTGACATCAGGTCAGTTCTTGCTATCCTCACAGCTCAGAGGGACACACGCCCATTAACACTGAGGAATCCTCTCTTAAATGGGTCTAAATTCACATTAAGCACTGAGTTATAACTTTTACAATGACTGCCTTCATCTCTGCCTAACTGTAGGGACATGACTCACTGAGATGTTTCTTTACCTTTAATGAGAAATACAATTCAGAATCTTCAAAAAGGCTTTCATATGGCTTTAAACTTTAATAACTTAGATTGTAGATAGTGTAGAAAAAAAAAATCTAAGCATTTTTTAATAGCAATAAATTCAAGATGACAATGGAAAATTATCATTTTATGATGGTACCTTTGATTCTGGGGGGTCTGGTGGTGTAGTGCCTAAGGCATTTGACTGCTAACCAGAAGGCTGGTGGCTCAAATCCACCAGCCACTCCTCGAACGGAAGATTGGGCAACCTACTTCTTCTGTAGAGATGAGGCCTCGGAAACCCAAGGAGGGGTTGCTGTGAGTTCAATTCGATTCAATGGCAGTTAGTTTGGTTTGGTTTTTCACCCTTGATTTGAAGATTTTATTATGGTTTGGGTGAAAGTTTACAGAGCTAATTAGTCTTCTTTCAGCTATTTATATACATTTAGTTTTGTGACATTAGTTGTAATACCTCCAAAGTAAAGCACTCTTCCTGCTCTCTCTCTCTGTATTCCTGGTTTCCATTTGTCTTTCTTTCCTGCCCCTTCCTCCATTCTGAACTTTGTTTTTGGGCAAATACTGACTGCCCTTTTGATCACATATGGTTGGTTGTTCTGAATAGTATGTTCCTCAGGGGTGTTATTGTTCACTTCATAGGCCTGTCATTTGGCTGAAAGGTGATCCCTGGGGGCTGTGTTCAGTTCCAAATCTGAAGGGGATCTAAGGGCCGTAGTCTCAGGAGTTCCACCAGTCTCTATCAGGCCAGTAAGTCTGGTCTTTTTATGATTTTGAATTTTGTTCTACATTTTTCTCCCACTCTGTCCAGGACCTTCTCTATTGTGATCCCAATCAGAGTGGCCAGTAATGGTAGCTGGGCACCATCTAGTTCAGGCTGGAAGAGGCTGTGGTTTGTGTGGTCCATTAGTTCTTTGGACTAATTGTTTCCTTGAAATTTTGTTTTTCTTCCCTCTTTACTCTAATTTTTTTTTTTTTTTTTAAATCAACATTAGGGCATCAAACTTTTGAGTCTGGAAAACATTTTTTTCATTTTTAAATTAACATGTCATTCAAGAGTCCATGTTGTAAATGACATTTAAAAGCAATGTATTAACTGTTTCAAATCATTTATGGATATAGGCAAACTATAATAATACCTCCTGTGTGTGTGTGTGTGTGTGTGTGTGTATGTATATACATACACATAGTAACTAAACAAGGAATTCTGGTGGTACTGTGGTTAAAGCATTAGGCTTACTAACTGAAAAATGTTGGCAATTTGAACCCACCAGCTGTTCCGTGGGAGAAAGATGAGGCAGTCTGTTTCCACAAACATTTATAGCCTTGGAAACCCTATCGGGCAGTTCTACTGCATCCTGTAGGGTTGCTATGAGTCGGAATTGACTTGATGGCAGTGGATTGGGTTGGGTTATATTACACAGCTATAAACAATACAGTCTTGTTTTAAAAGTCTGTGACTAACTGTATATTACTACTATAGACAAGGAAAACAGTGACATGAAATTGAGCATCTTGTTGGCCATGAGAAGAAACTCTCATGAGAGTTCATGACCAGGAACAGGTACTGTATTCAAATTTTAATAAGCTAATGTATTAACTTTTAAAGTTCTAAAAATGATTTGTATAGATCTGGAGTAAATTTATGTTTATGTATTATTTGTGTGCTATACACACAGAAGAAATGTATGTCCGTCATGTATCAAAAATAGCTCTCAGTTTATTTCTTAATTGTAATAATAATAATAAATTTGGCTTCTAATCAAGGTAGTCATATTTATTTAATGAGCTCAGTTCTTAAGCCTGATGGTTTATTAATTCCCAACAATTTTATGGGGAAAATGATACTTTTTATGCTAAAGAATGTGCTGAAGAAAATCAAATCACCTGCTGGGATACAGCTTTCTGCATTTTCGGAAGGCATCAGGCAGGATGCAAAAGCAATTTCCTTTACAATGTTTTATTCATTGTCCAGTAAAGTTACACCCATAGAACTCAATAACCCAAGTCACTTCCTTTCACATTCATTATTAACCATGACAGAATGCCTGTCCCTTACCAGAGGATCACTTACACCAGATGCCAGGAAAGCCTGCAGGCTTCTTGGAAATAAGATTCAGTTCCTAGGACCACATTTCCCTAACTGTGTGTCTTCTCTGTTAATGGAAACCCCGCTGGCTTCAATGTAATCTTTCCACTTGGAGGACTAAGAGGCAGCTCCGGTTCTATAGCTGCTAAACTCCCTAAATGTGCCTTGCAGACTTTAAATCACACAGACAGATCGCTGAGGTGGTGTAAATGCCTATATTCTGGAAATTGGAGGTGGTAGGAAGCAGTAATAAAGTGATAGCTATAGTTTTTTTTTTCTTTCTTTTTTCTTATAAACCACTTCTGGGAGGGCTGGTCAAGTGAGATTCTGTAAATGAACACTACATGAATATTCCAAGGCACATTGCTGAGATTAGATGACCCTAGGCCTAGTGCAAGGAGACTGGACCTTTAAACAAACACCCTAGAGCTTCCACATGTTTAGTGTCCTTGGAGTCTCATACGAATACCTGAGAGCTGAGAGTAGGAACTTTAGAACCAGGAAGTCTTGGTTGTGAGTCTAGCTGTCCCATTTACTGTCACCAAGTTATTAAACTTCGCCAAGCTTTCCCCTCATTTATAAATATGGGGGTATGTGTACCCATTTTATACCAAGAAGTGGTGCAATTAAATGAGAATAATATATTGAAAAAATGCACCCACACGCCAAGGAATCCTTGTGGCACAGTGGTTAAGCATTTGGCTGCTAACCGAAAGGGCAGCAGTTGGAACCCACCAGCAGCTCTGTGGGCAGAAAGACTGCTCCCATAAAGATTACAGCCTGGGAAACCCAATGGGGAAGTTCTTTGTCCTTTAGGGTTGCTATGAGTCAACTTGATGACACACATCTACCACCAACATGCCTAATAGGTGCTGAGTATATCGTCTGCATTTCTTCATTACCTTATTATTACTAAACACCTTAAAAAGTTTTTGCAAGGATAAGAATCTGCTAGAAAGGAGGACCAGAAAAGGGAATTGATAAGAGGCCAAAGCCAAAATTAGCTAAACAGTTTGCCTTTTATTAAAGG